TGGGGGGAATGGGCGGGGAGGGGGAGAGACTGGAGGCCCCAAAAGAAGTGAGGGGAGCAGACAGGCAGAGCTGGCTGAGGACCCAGGCTTCCGATGCTTCCAGGGGTTCCCCCACCAGCATGCACCCCTCTGCCCCCAAACCCCAGGCCTGGGCCTGTCCTCAGAGAGGCATTCTTCTCTCACAGCCCCCCCTGCACCATCTCTGAGGAAGACAAAGTAGCTTCTCAGTCAGTCTCCTCCCATGGAGGCCAGTGGGATGGGTAGCAGGTCCCCAGAGAGAGGGACTGGAGGACCCTACGTGGGGCTGGGGTTGGGAGCAGAGAAATATTTAGAAAGAGAGGGAGGATCGGAGACAGTAACCCATTCATTTCACAGATATTTAATGCAACCTTATTTTTGCCCAGGGCAGAGCTATTAAACAGAATGATTGCACCATAGGGGACATTCCAAGTCAATCCTGTCTTTTTTTTTTTTTTAATCCTCAACAGATGATACAGTTTTATCAATTTCAGAGAGAGTAGAAGGAAGAGAGAGAGAGAGAAACATTGATGTGAAAGAGACACATCAATTGGTTGCCTCCTGCATGTGCCCCAACCAGGGATCGAACCCCCAACCTGGGTATGTGCCCTTGACTGGGAATCGAACCCACAACCCTTGGGTGCATGGGCCGGAGCTCTAACCACTGGCCACACCAGCCAGGGCTAACATGAATACTTTTTGAAGCAGGATCTTTGCACATTTGGTACTTAAGGTGCTCGTGTGTTCAGGAGATTTCTACTTGTCCTGGGGACAGCTTTGTGACTTCAGCTTCAAGTGTGTCACTGATCTGTGATGTTTAAGCTGGAGTCACACTAACTTCCTTCCCATCAGGTGTTGGGAGACTTGAAAAAGTGCAACACTGATCCCATTTACACCTGTAATATGCAGAGGCGTAGGAATGTATCTTAGCCCTGGGAGGTTTGTCTAACAATTGAAGGACTTGCTGGAAGAGATTGAATGTGTTGGTTTTAGAAACATAGTTTAAGATGTTTGAAGATACTTAATTTGTAAATTAGACCAAACATTAGTATAAAAACTCATAAAAGCGTGGTAAGCCCTGGCCAGGTGGCTCCGTTGGAGTGTCGTCCATGCACCAAAAGGTTTTCGGGTTGGAGATTCCTGATCAGGGCGCATACCTAGGTTGTGGGTTCAATCCCTCATCGGGGCACATATGAGAGGCAACCAATTGATGTTTCTCTCTCTCTCTCTGTCTCAAAATCGATGTAAAACATATCCTCAGATGAGGGTTTTTGGTTTTTTTTTAAAGAAAGTGTGTTAAGGCATATCTAGAATGAAAGGTTTGCAAGCTAAACTTAAAAAACTAAAAGTACCAAGTTCCTGGATTTGTCACTTTCACACATGTAATAGTCAAAATAAACCTCAGAATTTTATTTTTTACATTTTCCCCCCTGTGCCCTAAGCCAGCTTCAAGGACTCTAAAACCTCAGTTCAACAGGTGCTGGGTGACAAAGTGAGCAAGACAGCTGGGGTTTTCCCTCAAGGAATGTGACTCCAGCAGGGCAGCATCTCCGGGCATCTGTCCATTTTGTTCTTGGATAGATCCGTGTTGAACATACGTGTTGGATAGATTTGTGTTCAACATACGTGTTGAATGAGTGTTGGGCTCTTGCATCCTAGTGGGGACAGAGACTTGGAGTCACATTTGGAGATATTTGCACAGAGTCAGGGACACACAGAAAGAGCCTGGATGGAGAAGAGGACAGGAGAGGCCACCTCAGATGGCCCAGGACCAGGGAGGGAGGAGCCACCTTTGGGGTTCCCCACCCAGTGCCCCATTTCTCAAAGGGCCAGGAGCCAGCCGCCCCCTATCCTGGCCTCTTGGCCTGTTTCCTCAGCGGGTGGCCCTGCCCAACTTTCTCACCCACGCCTGTCTGTGCGGCTGGGCCACCGCACCTGTGGGGGAGCCCGGACTGGATTCCTGCCCCTTTCTGCTCTGTAGCCCCCACCCAGGGGTGAAAGGCAGGGGAAGAGGTGGTGGGGTCCCTTGGCCAAGTGGCCTGAGTCTTCTAGGCCTAAAATGCACAATTTGAGAGACAGAGGGACAGAAAGACACAGAAATACAGATGCTCAGAGCCAGCGACAGAGGGAGAATGATAGACAGAGGCGCAGAGAGAGAGAGAGAGGCTGGAAAGGCCTGCGTGGCAGAGGAGAGAAATGGGGGGAGAGACCCAGAAGCGCAGGGGCTGATCCAGAACCACAGACACACACACAGGGGCACAAGGGAAGTTCTGGGCTGATGGATACGCTCCCGATCTTGATCGTGGTGACGGCTGGACGTACCTATCTCAAAACTCAGGAACCTGTGCGTGTCAAATACGCCCGGTTTCTGGTACCTCGGTTCTGCCTCAATTAAAGCTGCTCTGTTTGGTTTTCAAATAAAGCGGACTTGAGAAAGGCAAGGTAGGTTTGACGTGCAAAGCGTTCAGAAGTGTTCAAAAGAGAGAGAGACGGCCTCGGAGACACAGGTAAAGAGCGAGGTGCGGAGCAGGGACAGAGAAACAGACAGGTTGAGACAGAGAGACAGGGACCCCCACACGGGCGTGGGGCGGGAAGTGGAGAGGGAGACTCTAAGGGTGAGAGATACTCCGTGGGCGCCTTACGCCGAAAGAGTCGGGAGGGAGCAAAAGGAGAGGGGAGCAAGGGCAGGGGAGCGTGAAAACGCGGCGACCGCGGTTGGAAAGGTGACAGGAGGGGAGGGACGGCGCGGCGACCCGGGAGACCCGCGC